CGTTTTCTGCTTAGAACTGATACTTGGAGGCTGTCAACCTAAACCCTAAACCCTAAACCCTAAACCCTAAACCCTAAACCCTAGGATGTGTAAAGGGTTTTAGTGTAGTAAGGGGAATATAGAGTGGATCGTAAACCCTAATTTATAAACCCTAAATACTAGTTAACTCGATACCATAATTCATCATAAACCCTAAACCCTAAACCCTAAACCCTAAACCCTAGACGATCCTAAACACTAAACCCTACCAAGTGATACTAGACTCTTAACATGAAACCCTAAACCCTAATTTATTCTACAGCCTAAACCCTAAATATAAACAAACAATAAACACTATACCCTGATAAATCTAAACCCTAAACCCTAAACCCTAAACCCTAAACCCTGATTTGGGTTAGGATGATAGTAAATATTTGTGTTTGTTTTTTTTGTTTTCCTTGTTGTTAGTTGTTACAACCCCCAAACGGGGTGTACATACACCCCAGAGCTTGCTGCTTGAGCAGCAGCAGCAGCAGCAACAGCAGCAGCAGCAATTGCTGCTGCTGCTGCTGCTGCAGCAGAAATGCAGCAGAGACATTTGAGGTGTACAGACAGCTGATGCAGTTGAAACTGTTGTTTTTCTCCTTTATACAAACGGAGATATAAATGTATAAACAAATTAATAAATAAATAAATAAATAAATAAATAAATAAATAAATAAATAAATACAAAAACAAATAAAGCAATTAAGAAAGATAAATTAAACAAAAACAGAAAACACAAACAAAGTGCAGCAAATGAAGTCATCGATCAGCAGCAGTTAGAGCAGCAGCAGCAGCAGCAGCAGCAGAAGTAACAGCAACATCAGCAGGAATAGTAGCAGCAACAGCAGCAGGAACTGTAGCAGCAGCAGCAGCAGCAGCAGCAGCAAGTTTACTGCAGCAGGGAAGATGCGTGCGTCTCTGTTTATGTATGCTGAGGTGTACATCCATGTATGATAGAAAAACAAGAAAACATGCACGAGTTGCTGCTCTGCAGCAGCAGCAGCAGCAGCAGCAGCAGCAGCAGCAGCGGCAGCAAGCTCAGCAGCAGCAACCGCTGCTGCAGCAGCAGCAGCAGCTTCAAATGCAGCAGCAGCACACACTCTCTCACAGGAGCTCCAGCTGCTGCGTCTCCGAGAGCTGGCAGCAAAAAAAAACAATTTTTTAAATAACAACACAGATGCAGCAGCTAAGGCTTACTGCGGCAGCAGCAGCAGCAGCAGCAGCAACAGCAGCAGCAGCAGTAGCAGCAGCAGCAGCAATAAGCATCGATAGAAGGATATGAAGATTGGCTTGAATTGCAGCAAGTAATATAAAAATAAATATTTTATATTTATATTATAATATAATATATTTATTATTTTTTATTTCTTTTTTGTATTCTTTTTCTTTTTCTATAGAGACAAGAGGTGCTGGGGTGTATATGCAGCAGCAGCAGCAGGCGGGTGGTTTTGTTGCAGCATTGGTGGCTGTGTTTAGCCTTCTTTGTTGTTTTATTTTATTTAATTTAATTAATTAATATTTAATTTATTTAAAAATAATATTTTTGTTTTTTTTTTGTTTTTTTTTCTGCTGCTGCGTCGGTGCATCATCGGCGTGTTTCTAAGCCCCACTGCGGTGCCGCCACTGCAGGGAGCGCAGAGAGAGAAAAAAAAAAGAATAATTTGTTTATTATTTATTATTTATTATATTTTAAAACAAAAATAAATATAAAATTCAATTAAAAACAAACAAATACATATATTTTGAGCTGTATAGACACCTGGTACTTATAATATAGCCCCATACAAGGGTCCCCCCGTTGCTGCTGCTGCTGCTGCTGCTGCTGCTGCTGCTGCTGCTGCTGCTGCTGCTGCTGGCCCCGCAGCAACACTTGTGTGGGTGCGTCTTTCTCTGTTGTCTTCTGTATTGAGGAGAGGTTTTGTTGTTTGTTTTCTTTTCTTTGTTTTGCAACAGCAGCAGAATAACAAACACCTGAAGCTCTGAAAATGGCGTAAGCAGACACAAGAAGAACAGCAGCAGCAGTTGCAGCAGCAGCAGCAGCAGCAGCAGCAGCAGCAGCAGCAGCAGCGGCAGCAGCAAAGGCAGAAAAATACAACAACAAATACAGCTGTAGCAGCAGCAACACCAACAATATATTTTATACTGCAGCAACATAAACAAAGAAATTTTATTATTTAATAAAGAGATTCTACTTAGTTTATAACAACACAGATGCTCGGGTGTATAGGCACCTCGGCGTCAGTAGCCCCCCACTTCTTCTGTTTTGTCTCTCTGTTGCATGCTGGCTTCCATTGTCTCTATTTTGGGGTGTATGTACACCTGGGGTGCTGTATACCTGCACTGAGAGTGTTGCACCAGCAGCAGCAACAGCAGCAGCAGCAGCAGCAGCGGCAGCGGTAGCAGCAGATGCTGCTGCTGTTGTTGCTGTTGCTGTTGCTGCTGCTGCTGAGAACAAACAGGAGCTGCTGCTGCTGCTGCTGCTCCTCGCAGCTGCTGGGGCTGCTGCTGCATGCATGCATGCATGCGATGAGATCGAGGCGTTGCTGTGCTGCAGCAGAAGCTTTGCTGCTGCTGCTGTTTTTTCTAGAACATGCATGCATGCATGCATGCATTAACAGAAAAAGATTATATATATATTTATATTTCTACGTGTGTAATTTTATTGAGTTTCTACACCTGCTACTCTCAGTTTCTGCTTCTGTTTGTTGTATTTTTTTTTTTTTTTTTTTTTTTTTTTTTTTTTTTTTTGTTGCAGGAAGGAGGCGTGCACCCCCGAGTGTTTGTGGGCTGAGAGAAAGCCGTTTGTGTTTCTTACGGTTCAGGTGACCTCACCTGAGGACCTGAAGGTAGACCTGAAAGAAGAAAGTTTAGACTTTGCATGCAAAAAAGGAGATAAAGCTTACTCTTTTCACATTGATTTTCCAGAGCCTATTAACGTTGAGGTCAGTACAATATATTCAGCTGTATGTACACCGCAACAACGATCATAACAATACCTTATGCAGCTATATACACGAGAAAAAAAAAATAGAATACATGTTATATACTGGCTTGGATAGAGTTTAGGGGGCTGCAGCAGCAACAGCAACATATTAGCTGTAGCAGACAGCCGTAGATAAAACGAGTGTATTGTATTGCTGCTGTTGCTGCTGCTGTTGCTGCTGCTGCTGCTGCTGCTGTTGCTGCTGCAGGAGAGCAAGTACAGCACGCAGCGTAACGTGCAATTCAAGTTGGTGAAGAAAGAGGCAAAGAGGTGGCACCGGGTGTCTACAGCTGACAAAAAGAAGTTGCATTGGTTGAAATGTGATTGGAATAAGTGGGTAGATTCAGATGAAGAAGAAAACAGCAACATGGATATGGGGGACTTCGATATGGACTCCATGGGCTTCGGCGGCATGGGTGGTATGGGGGGTATGGGGGGGATGGGGGGGCTAGACCTTAGCTCTCTTGGTGGTTCTGGTGGTTTAGGAGAAATGGGAGATTTAGGAGATTCAGATGATGAAGATGATCTCAAAGATCTTGATGCTCCTATACCAGAAGACGAAGCAGATGCAGCTGGCGCCGCTGCCGCTACTCCGGCTACTGAAGAGGGAGAGAAAAGGGGAGAGGAAACAGAAACAAAACCGCCAGCTACGGCGGAATCATGAATATATTCAGAAACCTAGTGAAAAATGCTGTCGATTCATGGTCGAATATCGATCAAAAACAAAGAAATTACAACAAAAAATACGGCTTTCTTGATGCCGTTTATGGGGGGGTGGATGTGCATGGATTGAGGTGTACATACACCGCAGCTTTTAGGGGGTGGGCCACGTGCGCCCGCTGCCTTGTTGTTGCTTTATTCTTTGCGGTTTTTGCTGCTATAAAAGCAGAAAAAAACGGCTTGGAATTGTTGCGTTGTTTGCCTTTATCAGCTGCAGCATCTGGGGGGGGAAAGAGGTATATAAATATGTTTATAGATGCAGCGGCGTGAGGCCAGTTGAATGTCTGCCGGTGGGCGACAGGCAGGCGGGGAGAGAACCCTCAAACAAAAACCTTTTCTTTAGAATTCTTTATTACTATTGTTACTATTGCTATAGTTTTCTTTGCCACTATTATTATTTAGTATTAGTACCCTCACTACTTTTTTTTTTTTNTTTTTTTTTTTTGGCTTTGCCTGAGGGTCTTGCTGTACAACTTGAATTCCTTCGGTTGCATGCTAATTTGTTTTTTTTTCTAGAACCTTATTGATTGAGGTGTACTGCATGCAGACAAGTATATAAAGCCCCGCTTAGTAGCGGTATTTTTTGGCTTATTTGTTGTTTAGCTCTGTTTCTCTCCTTCTCCTCTCCTGGTGCTGTTGTTTTGTGTATACACTGGTGGCTGCATGCATTTTCACTTTAGTTTATTCTGTTTTATGCAGCTATTTGAGTGAGAAAAACCTCAACAAGTAGAAAGCCACTGCACTGTACACCTCTCTGCAACAAACAAACTGAATTCCCTTGTGCTTCTGAAGATACATATAAAGAGGAAGATATATTTGTCAGTTTTATTTTGCATGTATCTTTTATTTTCTGCTGTGTACTGACAGTTCTAATTAAAAAAAATATAATTAAAAAATATATGTATTCTTGGGGATAGCTGCATGCATCTCCTGTAGCAGTGTATATATTGAATTCATAGAGATGTAACGGGCGGCGGGATTTGGTGATTGAGGAGCTGCAGTGCATTCTGTAGCAAATTAGTTGAATATATTTTTGCGTTTATTATATTATTTCATTTTATTAAACTTTAAAAATATTAAAAAGTAGTATATATATGTGTACAGCCTTCAGGAAGATCACGCTGACAGCGGTTCTATCTTTTTTCGTTTTTCTCGGCTCTAACGATGAATATATTACTATATTTTCACTTAACTTTGATAGTAAATGTTTTTCTAAATTTAATAGAAAATAATTTCATTGAATTTCACACGGAAGACTGCTCTGTTCAGGTTTCAGTTCAACTTGCACGGATTGAGTTACTGGGTGAGAGGGATGCGGGCGATCTCTGGAGGAAATAAAAAACTTTTTTTTTCTATTTATTTTATTGAAGAGTTTTAAAACATTTAAATGCAGAATTTGTATTTATTTCAGTGCCGTTTCAGCAAATAGGAAAGCTGTGTGCAGCGCGACGAGCAGTTGAACGGCGAAACCCGCTACCTGAAATATCGTTGAGCATACACTATTTGTAACTATATTCAGGAAACTCAATTTATTTTAAATTTAAATTCAATAAAATTCACAAATTTAGTGAAGTTTCCACAAAGAAAGCGCTAATTAAACGACTGTTTCCCTGAGCAATCAACGCACAAGTCGGCGCGGCGGCGATCACCTCGCGGGCAGACGGAAAGTTGTATTTTTTTTTCAACATAAGGGATAAAAATTGTTTGAAAAAGTATTTTTTTATTTAAATTTCACGAAAAAATAATTTTTTCAGATTTTTTTTTGCAAAAGTTCAAGTGTGCCGTCGTCACACGAAGTGAAAGCTGATCACTTACCCAGCCGTCTCGCCATGAGCTGCTGGTGTGTTCTGGTGCATACCGAAGGAAAAAAAAGAGTATTTTTGGGGGAAATATGTGTAGAAAGGTTTAATAAGTTTGTATATATGAAGAAGAGGAGAGATGACGGAGCGAAGAACGATAGAAAGCGGTATCTTTCTACCTGTTTCCTCCGCGACGAGACGAAGCGCGGTGGTGTGTTGCAGCGCGCGCAGAAACCTATGTCAGGTGAACTCTCCTCTTTTTCCCCTCATGATGAGTTGTATTGGATTGATTTGTGTTCTAGAAGGGTTTGTTGTGTAGGAAGCACAACAGATTCTCTTCTCTTCTCTTCTTCTTTATCTGTTTCCCTTTCTTTTCTTTTTTAATATACTATACCATTGATTGAAATTTGGTGGGTTTCCCCCCCCCCTTTTTTCAAGTATTTGTGTGCCAAAGATGAGAACCGCCGCCGCTATTGCCGCAGCAATTGCCCTTTGTGC